CGGCAGCTCCGGCGGCTGGCTGCGGCAGCAGTCGGCTGCCCGGGTACCACTTGCACGCCTCCCGGTTTCTGATGATGTGCGAACCAAGTCTCCTGTTCCGGGGATGGAGAACCATATTTGGTCTTGAATAAGAACAGGCAGTAGTTAACAGCAGATTTCGTTGATTTGGTGGTTGGAGTATACTTTGCTTGATTTGATTTTCTTGCATCTTGAAACTAGAAGTTCATCGTCGGACAGGGTAGCCACGATGTCGGAAGTTCTCAGTAATGTTCTGGCTGCCCAAGTGGGGTCAGCGCGACTGAGTTCGTGGATCCTTTGGTTATTCAAGAATTGTCTCACGCACATGTTGTTGAAATTACGCCGTATTGCGATGGGATCAAAGCGATCATCGCTTGCGGGCGATGTGAGGAGTTGTTGGCCCGCTTGATGTGCCTGTGTGGAGGTAAATTGATGTAATTTGAAAAAGGTAATGGAATTAGTTTCTCGTAGCTTATAACAGATTTGATGGAAATGGTGGTGGCTCGCAAGATGGTGGTAGTACTGGTCGGGACCGTAGTCGTTTGTTGAGAGTGTTGTAGGGGTGGCGCTCTTAAGCGCTGTTGTAGCTGTCGTTGTGGCGGGGACGCTCCGAGGTGCAGTCGTAGTCGGCTTCGTGGTGGTTATTGTATATGATTATTGTATATGACGAGGTACTGACTTTTGTTGTGGGGGCGTCGTCGTAGTGTTAAGAAACGGAAATTTTATGCTTATACTTCCAAAGGTTACACTAAAGAATCACCTATCTGAAAGAAGCACAGGATTGCTTTGACAAAAATATGCCAATTTCATTTTCTTGATTTGAAGCCATGGGAAAACTACGAAACTGCGCAAACGAGGGCCTGATGTATAGAGTGTGAAAGTGAGCAAGTTTGGGACTTTTATGATTTTTCCAGCGGAGCTTTTTTTCTAAAATTAGGCATTCACCGCCTCATAAAATTTGGCCACAAATTTTGCGTTCAATCTCGGTGCGAATTTTAGGCTTCATTTTGTAGAGCTTGCTATGCTCTATCGGTTGTTGCTCAGTTTATTCAATTTCGTGCTCACCCTGCAGCGACATCATATTCCGAGCAACCTGACACTTACCAGCCAATCAACAAATCTGTCTGCTACATATAAGAATGTGCGTAATATCTGACAAAAATAGACAAGTAATTGTAAATAAAAGAGTTGTCGAATTTGTGTTCTCGCATGGCGGAGAAGCTACAGGTGCGCAAAAAAGTTTACAATAAAGTATATAAGCTCTCTCAGGTAAAGTTTACCTGTTCTGCTCGGTATACGACTAGCTGATAGACTAATGGCTTGGTGGGTCGTTGCATCACTCAGAAAACAGTGGCATCGGCTTCGAGCCCGGCTAAATGTCTGGAGTGATTTCAAATTGCGAATTCTCTCAAACTTGTACGAACGCTGAACAGTAACTTTGTAGACAGAGCCAGGAACGGTCAAGATAGGATGCTTGATTAGAGACGAGAAGCGCTACGACGAACCTGATTATTTGGGCTTCTGCAAGGTCTCGAATATATATACAGGTGTTCTTCCAGCCTAAAAGTTGATGCAGAAGAACGGCAAATGTGTAAATGCGGTCAAATGTCCGATTTTTTCGGATACTCGACAGTGGGCTCCTATTTAGTAATCGAGTATGCTGCTGAGAGACTTCAAGATAGGTTATGTTAATGACAAAATATATCATGTATTGTAACGGGATAAATCGGAAATTCTTTTTTTTTCGTGATTGCAATTGGAATTGCTTGGAATGTATCAGGCTGCTGCGTAAGATCTGTTCATTCTACATTTTCTAAAATATCATAAGTTCCTTCAAAATCAACTTTTTCCGAAAAGCTCAGTTTCTCTGATTAGGCAAGTTTTTATCTGTCAATGGATCGTCACATTTGCGATCACGAAAAAAAAAAGAATTTCCGATTTATCCCGTTACAATTCATGATATATTTTGTCATCAACATAACCTATCTTGAAGTCTCTCAGTAGCATACTCGATTACTAAATAGGAGCCCATTGCCGAACATTTTCGAAAAATCGGACATTTGACCGCATTTATACATTTGCTGTTCTTCTGCATCAACTTTTAGGCTGGAAGAACACCTGTATATATATTCGAGACCTTGCAGAAGCCCAAATAATCAGGTTCGTCGTAGCGCTTCTCGTCTCTAATCAAGCATCCTATCTTGACCGTTCCTGGCTCTGTCTACAAAGTTACTGTTCAGCGTTCGTACAAGTTTGAGAGAATTCGCAATTTGAAATCACTCCAGACATTTAGCCGGGCTCGAAGCCGATGCCACTGTTTTCTGAGTGATGCAACGACCCAGCCAAGCCATTAGTCTATCAGATAGTCGTATACCGAGCAGAACAGGTAAACTTTACTAGAGAGAGCTTATATACTTCATTGTAAACTTTCTTGCGCACCTGTAGCTTCTCCGCTATGCGACAACACAAATTCGACAACTCTTCTATTTACAAGTACTTGTCTATTTTTGTCAGATATTACGCACATTCTTATATGTAGTAGACAGATTTGTTGATTGGCTGGTAAATGTTAGGTTGCTCGGAATATAATGTCACGGCAGGGTGAGAAACCACCAAAAACATAAGGATCGGCTTTCGTAGCGATAATGACCATCTATTTTGTAGAAGCTCTCTTCATCTAACAATCTCAAATTCATATCGTCTCAAATATGATTAACTAGTCTTCATATCTATCTACAGTCTCGATCACTTTGTAGAAGATGATTTCTTCATCCGATTGTTTTTATGGAAAAAATTACTAGGTCGCCTTAAACAAACAGAGAATGGAAGAATGAGACTAAAGTGCTAAGTATAACCTTCTACCTGGTTAATGTTGATTCCGCTTTTGCTACGAATTCTCTTCACTCATGCTAGAGCCTTGATCACTAAAAAAAAGTCTAAGTGTTCCTTAGTGCATTCTCAGTTGTAAGAAGGATGGTCATTAGCATTTTATTAGGTTGTCCCAAAAGTAAACTCCTTTCCAAATAATTCAAGCTGTTTTTGTTTTCCAAGAAACTTCGGGTATCATTCGATAGAGCAGATCAAAATCTACAAAACCTCCACCAAGGAGCCGCCTAATTCGCATTCCATGAAAAGTTTGAAGGCAAAATCGATGAAATTTTTGTCGCCTGAAAATTGGATTTCTGCGACAAAGAATCCTACAGATCTCCAACTTGATCATTATGCAGTAGGCACATAGTAATACTCAAATATGCCTTTACAGAATTTTTTCCAAGCATAAAAGGCGAGAAACAAAAAATGCCCAAAAATCCTAAACTTCGCCCCAGCCCCTCCCAAATATCTCATCGTATACTACAAGCCTTACTAAGTATAATTTCAAAACCTTACCTCTGTATGTACTCTGATGATCGAGAAATGCAAGTTTTACATAAAAAATCCGAAAAAAGTGACATTTTGCATTTTGGACCATTTTTTTCTCAATTTCGAGCCTCGGAAAAAATCCGCCAAATATATTTTTGGATACTATAGTGTGTCTACTATATAAAGACCAAGTTGGAAGTCCATAGGAACTTTCCGAAAATGGATCCGATTTTTAGGGTAGCTGAAAAATTTTGATTTTTGGTCCTAAATTTTACCTGGATTACGACTTAGGTGGATCTCTGGTGGTCATTTTGTAGAGCTTGCTGCGTTTTATCGGTTCGTACCTTAAGTCTATCAGGAAGACAAGAATAGCTGGATTTATCTGAAAATAGAGTTTACTTTTGGGACAACCTAATATTTGTACAAATGCATGCAACTTTAAGCCCATGTGACCTGTTCCTCACAATACAAGCTGATGGGCGAGTTCTATGTGTACCCAAATTAAAAATAGCAAAAAATGTGGGCAACATTGATAACATGGCTGACTAATTTCTCTATATAGCTGAGCATTGCTTCGAAGTTCTTGCACTAAATACAGGATGTCCCAAAAGTATGTGTACATTGTTTGATCGTTGAAATCTCTTTTCCCGAGCAGTCTTTTGCCTACCTCCAGGCCACTGTTTCGTAGAGCTAGCTCCAACTTAGATATACAGTATAGAAAGAATCACCAGTAGCTCTTTGTCACTGTAGGGTTTTGATAGAGATTTCATGAAGGGTTGTGAGCAGTTAGGGGCCCTATTCTGGCTTAGAAAACAAACAAACTAGGCTGAAAACTTGTTAGGCTAATTCAAGACACTAGAACCAAATACGGGGTCTGCACTTACCATACTGCTTCCTTAATAAGTCATACCGGGTAAACTGCTATAGCTGCTTCTACAATGCTTCATAAAATTGTGATTAGACCTTTTGAAAAACTTTGCAAACGCGTGGAAAGCTGATTGGAAAGTAATAAAATCAGAGGGCCTAAAAACCCTAGTACACCACTTTTTAAATTTTTTGGAAGTTTTTTGAAACACGGTTAATTCGCAATGACGCTGTAAGCTAAAACTTCATATCATAATCCTACAGTAATGAAGACCAATCAGTGATCGATTCGCTCCATACTGTGAATCTAAATTGGAGCCAGATCTACAAAACGGGGGTGGAGGACTATCTGTCGCCGAATGTGAAAGAGTCCCGCGCGGACTGCAGGAACGCATGTCCGCGCGTATACAAGGGTGCGTATTTGTCGCAAATGACCGCGGGGACCGCCCTTTTCCGGCGACATATAGTCCCCTACCCACAAGACGGTACCGATGGGCAAAACACCTTTTGAAAAAAGAGATGTTAACGATCAAATGGTACACATACTTTTGGGACACTTGGTATATCAGCAGTGGTTCACTGATCAACAGGTGTATAACCTACATGTGTTTGTATGCACCGATGTTTGTCCCACACAGCCTATTTGAATGCACTTAAAGTAAGCCCTCGCTTTGGCATGCTTGTTATTTTTATAACAACCAGCTTCTGTTCCTCTATATAAAGCAAGTAGCCAACCTACAGGCACCATCCTCATTTCAATGATGATGCTTAGATGTTTTGCTATCTTTGCGGTGAGTTCAGTATTGTTCTACTGCAACATGTTGACTACCATCAAATGTAAGAGGATGTTTGATTTCAGTCTCTACCTTTGGTAGTCTTCGGACAATTCCTCTACCCCTGTACTGGCGGCGGCGAAGCATCACATTTTCAAAATGATATAATTTGGGGTTTCAAGAAGTATTTCGAGCTTGAAGGTATTCTGCATGACCTGAAAGTGGTAAGTCAAACACTACATGTGCAGGTGCCTTCACCGATGATAGGGCTTTTTGTGTAACTGCTTGACTAACGCCTCTTTTCAGAGATATAATTGCCGCTACGAGATACTTACCGACTATGAGGGTCCTTATTTCCTTACCTTCAACATTGGGTAAATTATATATCTCCAGCAACTTTTCACGACAAACATGTCAAAGTTTAGAAAAAACCACGGAGAGCTACCCTCGAACGATGTTAGAGATCATATTGCCAAGGCATTGGTGGAAGAGACGTGAGCAACTTTATCAGGTTCTTTTGTTTGTAAGTACATATTACGTCAGTATTTAGAAAAAACGCACAAAGCGCTTTGAAGGCAGTGTTGGCCCCGATGGTTGATGAGGTAATAATAAACTCTACAGTATGTATCTGTTGGTTGGGCTAAAATTGTCAGTTCACTCTGACATGACTGTTTCTAAGCGCATTTCAACTTTTTGCGATCGCTTGTCCAGTTTACTTATTATATCATTCTTGTGTCAACACATTATTAGGTTCGGGAAAGAACGTTTTCGACAAGTAACAATTTTTAAGGACATTGCGTCATTAGAAGTTTGCATAAAAGTAAAGTGGTCAGAAGAATACTGAGTCCGCCCAAATATGTGTCTCAAACGCTAAACAACTACTTTTCAGTTAATGGAAAAGGAAGAAGAGAGAGAGGAAAACGAGCGCCCGAAGCTCGTTCTCAATGTAGGATGCTTCCTTGCTGAGGATGGAAAATACTATTCTGATAACTTATCTGCCTTCTGCAGTTTCTCGGTTATGCCTCCCCCTCCAAACGAGTTCTAGAAAAGGACATCAAACGTATAAATTTGTTGATCAATTGGCAGCTTTTCTCGAACATAACACACAGCAAAGCCCTCATTCAACGACAGAGTACGAACATAACCTCCATCCGCTTCATTAGTGTAACCGCCATCTCGAATTAACTATCATGGGTGGCTTCATTACTACATCTGTTTCTAAATAGAATGGCATGCCATGTACCTAAAAACTGGCCTAAGTTTTTCTTTCTGCTCAATTTTCTAAACCTAGAAACGCTGTTCAACATAGAGGTAGAACTCTTACGTTGAACTAGACACAGACAAAAGACTTTTTTGAATGATTGTAGAATGCGAACTAACATCAGGCTAAATGAAAGCGTTGAGCAAAAAGAGCCCAGAGTATGGCAACAAAATTCATTTTGAAAAAAAAAAACTCATCACACAAGCAACTTTGGACGATATTGAGCCAATCTATTTTCCTAAAGCGCCTATTGCTCGGAACTATCAATTTCCTTTAAGAAAATGAGGTGTGATGTCTTCAAACATTTTTCGAAGAAAATTTTTTCTTGTTTTCTGACTAGGTAAAAGGCTGTGTTTATTTTTGAAGCATATAAGACACATAAAAATTGAAGTTTGAATTTTTGAATTTTTTCTGTAAAGTTTAGCAAACCCCAGCCTGCATTAGTTGAGAGCTCGAAATTGGATTGCCTTTGTATTTACTAATGATACTTTTGGAATTTCATAAAGAATCTAAACAGCGAAAAAGAAGAATGAGGAAATTCTCGGAATACAAAGAAAAAATGTAGATTGAAGTGCCTTTTGAAAAAGACTTTTATACCCACTATATGTAACTCAATCTCGTGAAGGTAGGGTAATATCAATGGATAGCATTCATTTCTTTTCCATAGCCAAATATGAAACTTTGGCGAATTATTTGTAGTTTTACAGCGAATGACGGAAAAAGTGTAATGAGGGGTAGCCTTTGAGATGGAAGCAAGAAAGTGAATTCACTTCCGCTTTTTGCTTGTTAAGTTTGCCTTCTAAAAATCTGAACCTGCAACAAAATACGGAGCAAACCGTAATATAAGATTTTTTGTATAGGACGAATCTTTTGATGCATTTTTTCCAACACTGCAAAATTTGTGTTGAATGATCATCTCTATGAAGAGTCATAATTTTTGGGAGCAATACAAAACAGCAAATTTGATTTTTTTTTACTTTATCTTTCAAAAATGACAACTCTTTACAGAGACAGTCCTTTGATACAGATCTGCACTGCTGGAAATGGCGAATTAAAACAACATACACTACTGCTTGCTCCGAATTTTATAGCAAGTTTTAGATGTTTAGTTGTCTAACTCCCTCAAAAATCATAACTCTCAAGAAATGTCATTTCATACAAGCTCTACACTGTTGGAAAGGGGATTCAAAAATCGCAGATCGTTTTTATCAGTAAAAAAAATCCAATTACCACAATTTTCTCGTAGTCAGAAAATGTAAATCGTAGACATAACAGAAAGCCATGTTGAATCAAACAAATTCGTTAAAGGCACAAATATTTGCGATTTCTCAAAAATCTTGGTGAAAGAATGGAATTACCCAGTAGATAGTTTTGTGCGATGAATACAAGTCTCATGTATTAGACTCTAAATTTATGCATTTTAATACCGCCAATGTGCCAAGGGTTTATTGCGATTTCTTACCAAACTCATAAAGGGTATTAAACCAAGGATTTAATGTAATTTACGCCGCCACAAAGCTCAAGTATTCCAAAAAAAAAACACCTGTATCGTTGCACTTTTTTTCGCTTCGGACTTACGCGGCGTAGGAGGGATCTGGGGCGGTATGTATCAATCGCCCTCCGGGTAACGGTTCTCATCCAGATAGTATCCGCTTCATAGCTCCGTGCTCTGGGGATCTTTGTTCTTCTTTGTTTGTCCACGGGATCCTCACAGGATCACGGCACATATTCAAGGTAATTTATCTTTGCAAAAACTCAGTGAAAACGTCGTAAAGTTTTGCCAAAAACTTATTAAGACAGCGCTTAGTATGTTCCCAGTAGCAAAGATGAAATGTGGAAGTTTTAAGTTCGATAAATCCCAACACGCGAGCAGAGGTTCATCGAAGGTTTCGTCAGTTTGAGTTTCCATTTACTTCTGCATAAATACTCAGCACTGTTATAATAGATCAACAGCATAACTTAAACAGTTTTAATTGAGTTTTTGCAAAGATAGATGACTATAGAAATGGCCTGTGATCCTCCGAGCATCGCGTTCGGGATCATACAAAATACCAAAAATCTCAGCTTATACGACAAAGTACTACTATTCAAATTGCTACAATATTAGGATAGTAGGGCCCTCATAAGATGGACAAACAAGGAAAAGCACAGATCCCCAGAGCACCGAACTATAAAGCGGAAACTACCTGAATGGGAAACCTTACCCGGACATGCGATAGATACATACCGCCCCTGATGTGCAAATTTTTTGCTCTTCTTTTTGCTGAACGGGTAATAAAATTTTTTCTCTGCAAGAGCGTACTTACTGGGCCTTGGTTTTGATTTCCACAGAGTGATCGCTAACCTCGGGGAAGGGTGAGACCGCTTAGCGATAGAAAAGCCAGACAGCAGTGAGTCTGACCCTATCCCGGTTTTGGCAGGATGCCAAGCTAAAAAAAGATTTCTTTTAGCTGGACATCCTGCCAAAACCGGAAACGTTGAACTCGTTCACAGCTTGCGAGATCCGCAGGAGTACTCGGCTGTACATCGCAGTTGGAAACACTTACGCGCCGCGTTGAAGCAGACATTTTTTCTAGATAGGTTTTCGTTCCATGTTATCCACATTGGGGTGAGAGGGGCAGAAGCAAAAAGGACGAGTGAGAAAGTGGGGGAGGGACTAAAGGCCAAAGAAAACTTCGCAAGATTCTTTCAAAATGAAATAAAAGTTTGCTTCAAAATTCTCTGGGTTCCGGCTGGTGCCGAAGTCTCGCCCCCTACCAAAGCAGAAAAGACGGGACACGCTAGTCGCAGCGGCAGTGCTCGGGCACGATTTCCTATAAGGGCGAGACTGACGATAAGCGATAGTGTGCATCACAGTCGGGCCGTGGCTTGGATAAGGAGCTTACTGCAGTAATCCGTTGAAACTGTATTGCCTCTACATACCAGGACATTTATTTATTTTATCTTATATATACACTAATAGTGCGCTATTAAAAAACCGAAATCGAACAAAAAATCTGGACACAAAAGAAAAGACAAAGACCTGTTAAACCTCAGTCACAGAAGGAAGGAGAGTTATGCAAATGGAACGCGAAACAAATACCGGAGCTTCTACATAATGACGTAGACATTTGATTATACACATCAGCAAACCGAAGGGTAAAGCGCTTTGCTTCAGTTCTTCAGAATCTTGCTTCTTCTAAAGTTTATTGAGACCCTGTTTTGGGCGTCACCGAACCCTCGGTAAAAGCTAGCTGACTTGACCTTTAGGAATACTTGTTTTAGAATAGAGCAAGATTCAAAATGGAAGTGGTAGAATAAACATCTACCAGCTGTGAGCAATTGATATCAGACCAAAGTGGGGGATTGGGCTATGGTGAAAAGATAAGACATAAACTCGAAGTTTTGACGAATAAGGCTTGTTGAAGTAACCAGCATAAAACCATCTCCAAGCTTATTAATAGCATCGCAAAACAACAGAAATTTATTTGGTAAAACCAGTCTCATATGATGATATCAAGACCACTCGGCGCGACTGCAGAGAAGCGCAAAACAGTAAAAGTATGAAGAAGTCTCTTGCAAACAAAGGAGAAACAGCACCAGAAGTCTCCGTATTCAACAAGAATCATTTACTTGCATGAGATCGACCCTCATAAGGCTACGCTTGAAAAAAGATACGTTTCGCGCAGAGATCGATCAAGCCACCTCGACGTTCATAAAAGAAACTATTAGAAACACGCAAAAAAATTCAATTGGTACTAGGATAATGAATGTTTTAAACATACCCGCTCTAGCACTGGTTCTAAATATTCACTACTCAATACTAACTTGCATTCATCCTAAGTTTTATAGGCAGGAGTCAAAATGCAAGAACACGATCGTGATACGTACATCTGGGTTCCAAGGTTTTCATTGCCAGATGTTTCAGACAATTCATACCTTGGCATTTCGGCGTAACTTATGCTTTCGCGGCGTCTCAGAAACAAAATACAAGTGAATGTCTCCTGAACTTTTTCCAACTTTGAGATGTTCTTTTTCAAGAAAAAAGAATCCAAACTATAGAGCAACATCTTAAATTAGCTAACACATAAGATTAAAGGCGTTCCAAAACAAAGGAATTATCTATGTGTATCATCCGGAGGATTGTGAATAAAGCCGAGTACGCTATGCTCACTACGTTATCTATGTGACTCGAGAAACGCAGATCGGCATCAACCAAGATGCTCAAACCTCTAGCAGTGGAACAGTTCTTCAGCGTCGTTCCATTCATCTCAAAAATGGGCAGGGCCCGCCACGAGGTGGCTTCCCGAAATTGCAAAAAACGAAATCCCCTTTGACTCCACGACGAAAGTACGACATCCGCCGTGAGATATTAGAAGAGAAAATGCAGTGACGGGAACGGAACAAAACAAAACAAAAAATAAACGCCAAAAAGCATCAAACAAACTTGGTGATATTAGTGTTCTCCGTATTGGCGGCATGATGTGTCCAGCGAGCAGCACTACGCGCCTAAAGCAGCATCGACGCCGCCATTAAAAATTTTCAAGGGGTTGTAACGGGGAGGAGGGGGTTTGAGGAGGTTTAGGAACCTTTTTGTAGGGTTTGGTATGTAGATTAAATTCATGTAAAGAAAGTAAAGACATTATGTGAAGGATGGGATTATGACTTTTCCTTTCCAAGCTACCTCAGCTAGTTTCCAGGTGGCTTGAAAGCCACTTAACTCTGAAAAAATTTGAGCACGCTATCAGTTCGCATAATTTTTTCATAGTTGTCATATGATATTATGCCAGTGCCAGGTTTGTACG